AAATAATATGTATAATATAAATATATATATATATATCAAACTTCGTTAGACTGTGTCTATTTCTTCAAATTTTGAAAATTTTTGTTGAAAATCCTGACACCTCCATACATGTACATGGCTTAAAGCCAAAGTAAAAAGTTAAACTAGTAAAATTGAATCATCTTTATGAAAACTAAATTGTTTGGTGGATAAAATAAAATGTTGAAAGACGGAAATTAAGTAAATAAGAAGACATAATACACTCTTAACTTAGAGTGTGTTTGGTATGAGGAAAACATTTCTAAAAAATGTTTTTCAATTTTCTCATATTTGGTTGGGCAAAAATTTTACAAAATCAACTCATTTTCCTCAAAATTAAAGAAATGTCTTCCCTTAAAAAATTAAGAAAAATATTTTTCAAAGTTCTCTTCCAATTTCAAATTACATTTTTTATTGAAAAAACATCAATTTTTTATTTTAAAAAAATTAATTTCAAAATTTTATTTTTTTACCCGATTCCTGACAACCCTCCCCAAACCCACCTCTCCCACCCCAACCCCTCCCAAAAAAATTAATTTTGCTTTTTAAGAATATTTTCATTTTTAAATTTTTATTTTTGAACTTCTGCCTCTCCCATGGCCAGCCCCCTACCTACCCCTACCAGCCCCATCCCCGCCCAACCCCAAAAAAAATTAATTTTTTTTAAAAAAATACTATCAACTTCAAATTTTTATTTTTTCACCCCTCTCCTCCCCTCCCCTCCCCTGCCCCACCACCACCACTCCAAAAAAAATTATTTTTAAAAAATATTTTCAATTCCATAAATTGTTTTCTACTCTAGTAGAAATAAAAGATGTTCCTCAAAAATATTTTTCATTCATAAATGAAAAACTAAAAATTATTTTCGAAAAATATTTTCTACTCACCAACCAAACATGAAAAAATAAGTTCAAAATCTACTTATTTTTCAGAAAAACATTTTCCTACATACCAAACACACCCTTAGTTTCGAGGGATAAACTATAAATTTCAATTTTGAGCGTGCACAAGTAAACACTTAAACTTGAGTAATTAAGTAGAACACAAAATTACGTATGTATGATAAAAATATCTATTTATTCAATTTTAAACAATTAAATATACTATTTATACACATTTAAAATTAAAAGTCATAGTTACTAGCTGACACGAAAGTGTCATGATAAAGGGTTAACATGTATGTATGTATTATGCCTAAAAAAAATATTCTTAATAATTGAAAATTGCAAAAGATAATACTCTCTCCATTTTAATATATAAATTAATTTAGCTTTAAAAATAATAATAAATTCTAAATCATTTCATTAAGACTACTAAATAGAAAGGGGAAATCATACCGACAAGAGCAGGTGCAAAGTCGTATTCATTGCGTCTCCAAAGATTACCACGGCGGCGTCTTCTTTGAAATAGCTTCGATTGTTTGCCACTGTCGGAAACAGCTACTTCTTGTTTCTCCGATTTTCCACTGCCATCTACTTGTTGTTTCTCAGACTCTGTAGAAAAACGACGTACAAGTTCAGAGCACCAGCCCTGTTTCTGCACATTATTACTCAAATGCCTCACACTTGCATTCGATTTTTTATAGATATTTTTCAAAACTAAGCCTGACAAAGACATTGCTAATAAATTAATTGAAATTTTCTTATGTGTACTTTAATAAGAAACACTCACCGATTAGCTTTTCTGATTTCTATGATGAGAAGGAATTATATTGAGGCAAATTTATATAGGCGGTTGTGAAGATATATATAATTAAGTAAAGCTTCTAGGATGTGCTTGATGATGTGTAGTGTAGTATAGTATCAAAGCTTTGAGAAGGTTCTTGCTGCTTCATTCACTAAAAGTGACGCCGTTTAGTGCATAATAAAGAGTGTTCCAGAAACTACACTCTATTAATATACTTCTCTGTTTTTGTGACCAACAAACAGTTTATAGCTTATTATTTATTAGATATACAATTAATTTTAAAAATTATATATTTGCTAAGTACCTTTAAATATTTTACGATTTATATAAGTTAAAATTAATTATAGTTTGTTTAAGATGTGTTATAATTAAAATGGAATTGAATGAGTTTGAGATATAAAATAAGTAATGCGTAGTAATATATGATTTCTAATTTATATTTTTAAATATTTTTCTTAAAAATTCCAACAAGTTATTTAGATATGGATTAGAAGGAATATTTTTCTTTCTATCTTAAAATATTTGTTAAATTTTATTTTTTGAATTAATTTTAAATTAAATATATAATTGATTGTATATTTAAGATTATAAATTAATATTATAATTTACACATTTTTTTTAAATTTTTTGTAGTGAAAAAGAAATAACAAACTATTTGATTGACTTGTAAAATTGTTTTAAGTCCTCTTTGATACGTACAAATTTGCACCTTAATTAATATGATGGAGAATAAGGCGAAAATTAAGGCGCGTATGTGATTATTTACTTTTAGTCACTTATTTTCAAAACAAATTGGATGCAATTTTGGAATTTTGTTTGTAAATTAATTTGTGACAAGTGTTGATCAACAATATATCTTGATTTTGGAATTAATACGGAGAATTAATTGTGTTCATCAAAAAAGTAATTGATGATTTAATTAAGCAATAAAACAATGCTAGAATTATCATCACACGAATAAAGTTATTCAATTAAAAAAAGTGTGATTTTTTATGTGAAGTAGAATCGATAAAGACTAAAATGGATTTTGATGGACTTGAACTTAAAATTGTTATAGTTAGAATAAAATGTTGGGCCTGAAAAAATGAAAAAGTTAAAGACTTGAGTTAATTAAAATTTTATTTACGAATAATATATAAATAAGTATAAAATTTGTATATCTAATTTATCGATTCGATTTGGTTATTTTTGTGATTGTTTTTTAGTAAAATCAAAAGCAAATCAAATAGTATCGATTTTCAAAATTTAAAATCAAATCAAAATAAATATCAATTTTTTAATCGATATGATTCAGATTGTGATTCAATTTGATTTTGTAACCATGACCATGAACAAGTCTAGTTAGTATATCAATTTATCACACTCATGTTACATTTAATTGTTTCTCAATCAAATTAATTAATACATTTCACTTTTATTCATACCTCTACATGTCTCTGTCGTGTCCACTGTTGCAGGTTCTTTTGTTGGCTAAGTTGTTGGAGCATTTATGATTGCATTGTTACGCCTTATGTTAACTATGTGCGAATAGAAGAGTGAAAGAGGCTAGATATCAATTTGTATCGTCAGATATTAATTAGAATCAAAGTTATAACACGAAGGAAAAAAGAAGAGAGAATTTCCTTTTAAGTCCTGCAACCTCTTGCAGAAAGTACAAACTTCTTTTTGTCGTTTAACAAGATTCTACAAGACATGTTTTGATACGATGAAATCGATTATAGGACTCTGATACCTAATTTTCATGATCCTGAGCCGCTGTGAGTGAGGAAAATTAATTACTAACTCACTTAACTCATCGAAGACGAATTATACACCAAATCATGAAAGGAAACAACTAATCAACAGTTTAATAAATATAGATTGATTTTCCATAAACTCAACTATTTATAACAAATTCATCCTAAAGAATCACAAAATTTAACCTTTACAATCTAAAAGTCCTAATTCAAAACTCTAACGAGTCGTTTGGTACAAGAATTAGTAATGCAAGAAATATCAAAGAAGAAATTAATAATGTAGAAATTCAATGCAAGAATCAACAATGTAGAGATTATTTTTTATAAAGTGTTCGGTTCATTATTTCTAACCTATTTTCGTGTTTGGTTTAAAACTCTAAAAAAAACTTTTTTCAACTTTACCGTTGAATTGTTATGTCATATATTTCATGTAATTACCATATTCATTATGGTTAAACATTACAGAAAATTGTAAATTACATGGAGATTTTCATGGGGATTAGTATGAAAATTTTCCTACTAGTTTCTAGGAAAATCCCCATGTAATTTACAGTTTTCTTGTGGTCAAAGTTAATCTTACAAGTAAAGTGCTTAATAATTTGAGAATATTTCGTGAAGAATTAAATATGTTGAAAATGTGGGAGTTGTTTATGTTCTTCATGTTTTCTTAAGGAAGAACAAACAAAAATAATACATTTGATCTGAATTCAATTGAAAAAGTGCTAAATCTTGTTTGGAGTGTAAAAGGTGATTTTGCAAAACCACAGTTAAAAAAAAACATGAATAAATATTTTCTTTAACTAACAATTGCATAAATGAGTCAAACTTTCTTACGAAATATATAAATAAATATTTTTACAAAATTAATAACATATTTAAGCTTTTTCTTTACTTAAATCATAATTATGCATAATAAATACATATCATATATTTATCTATGTAATCTTTTTTTCTCTCAATCCCGTGAATCACTCGAGTTTTAAAATGGACAAAAGGACCATGGAACTTATGGGTATGTTTCAAGAATTTTCTACTGATTTTATACGTAGTGAAGGATTTAATAATATAGCTTAGGTTTTACATATCCAATATGCTTGCTTACAGCAATATATAATATAACTTACGTTTTACATATTCAATTTGCCAGCTTACAGCAATAATATGAACTTACGTTTTACATATCCAATCTGCTAGCTATAGTCCAACTCATTAACCAACGTGAGATCTACGTGTCATGTTACTCATTTCATCTCAATTTATGTCCTATATTTATTTTTTGAAAATCAAATTATTTAAATTTGATTAAAAATTTATTCGTGAAATTTTATTTTTTTAAAAATAAAAATTTATGAAATATCTAAATAATACTATAAGTCATGATAATTGATAATTCAAAAAACAATATATGAAAAATTTACATTATCTAAAATTCAAAAGATGTCACATAAATTGAAACGAAGAAAATATTATTTTATGTGACACGTGGATTTAACAAATTCCAAGTGGCAAACAAGAAGAGATGGCTACTCATGGCCTCTATATATTTGCGTATACTACTTTTCCATCTTTACACATTCAAATATATATCCCTCTATTTTATATTTTTTTTCTTTTAATTAAATTTGTCCTTTGACTCTTATATCCTTCGTAAACCCATTTATTTAATTTTAGTTTATTGATTGAAAAAAAATGATGAAGGGCAATATTGGAAATCCACTAGGTTTAACATCCTTGAATCATATATCCCGTGTTTGCACATCACTTGAAGAATCCATTGATTTTTACAAAAATATCCTTGGATTTGTCCCTGTAAGAAGACCTACATCTTTCAATTTCAATGGCGCTTGGTAGTTTCCACCATATGAATTCCTTTCTTTCCTATTGTTATAACTTCGTCCGTCTCATTTTAGGTGATAATATTTTTTTAGTCCGTTAAAATATAAACATTCTATAGTAAAATAATTTATTTTTTATTCTATGTAAAGTGATTTATAATTACATAAATATCTAACAATTGTATTTTTAGGACATAAATTTAACAAAAATCTTTTTTCTCAGTAAAATTATTTGTAATATCTTTAAGATCATGAAATTAAATAACATTTTGATTTATTTGACATATCAGAAATTTTAAACCATGACATTTAAAATTATTTTTATTTTTTAAAGCTTTATATCACGTCAAAATATACCAAATGAATTAAAACGAGGTATGACATGACCTATATATTTGGATATTGAATAATTAAAGTTATTGTCAAAGTTTTGACGTGGGGATTCTTGTTTTACGAATAGGTTATTTGGTCATGGGATAGGAATTCATTTACTTCAGTTAGAAGATTCAGAAAAATTGCCAAAGAAGACTGAAATTAATCCCAAAGACAATCATATGTCTTTTCAGGTTCTTGTTTTTTATGTTTCCCTTTTGTTGTTTACTTGTGTATTTTCTATACTAATAATAATAATTTGAGTTAGAGACCGAGTCAGAACTTAGGAGTTTGGAGTTCTAAAGAAAAGAACAATATCGTAAAATATGTTTTTTTAGGAAAAAAGAAATTTTAATAATAATGGAGTTCAAACTCACAATTTTATCGTGGCAGAACATCTCATGACTCCTTTCTTATCACTAAGCCACTAGTCAATTTTGTTAACAAGTTCACAAGTTAATTTATATATATTTATTTATTTTTCTAATGCAGACACAAAATCTACAAAAGGCTATTGAATTCGTCCTGAATTTTAATTGATCGTGAATCAATAACACGTCCAAATTCTAGATCGTCAACTGAATAATTCTATCTTACATACTAAACAAAATTACCTTACGTTTTACAATATTAGTGCATATAATTACTTAGATTGACGTTCGTTCCTAATTAAACTTTGCATGCAGTGTGAGAGCATAGATGGAGTGGAGAAGAAGCTTATAGAAATGGGGATAGAGTACATAAAACAGCTAGTTGAAGAAGGAGGTATACATGTTGATCAACTATTTTTCCATGATCCAGATGGATTTATGGTTGAAATTTGCAATTGTGATAAGCTTCCTATTATTCCACTTGTTGGGGACATGGTTAGGTCTTGCTCTACACATAATCTTCACACAATTACATCACAAATGGAATATGTCCCACTCAATTATATTCCTTAAACTAGAATTAGTTAATTAGTGTAACACTTATTCAGAATTGTTGTTATAATAAATAAATTACAAATGAAATGATACTTTTGGTAGCTTTATTGATTTGAAATGTGAGTTGGATAAATTAGGTACATAAACCCACAATTAAAGTACTTAATTTGTTTCGGAGATCGAATGTTGACTGAAGATAGTTTAAATATTTCTAAACTTTCAACTTTCAATCAACAATTTGAATTACGCGTGAATGCTTGGGATAGAATCAAGAATGTAACTAATTCAAAAGTCTTAATGAAATTGATGAAATTTCGTTTATCCGAAATGTTGACTTGTATCAAAGCTTATCTATTTTCAGATTCAAAACTAAAAAAAACTACCCAAACTCATCTGTTCACCTCGTAAACTGTGTCAAAAATCATCTGAAATCTCTATTTAAGAAAATATAAGATCTCATATGTTAGAATAAGAAAATTTGGTATAAAACAACATCAGGTAAAAGAAAAAGGTTGCCCGATGTGATCGAATTCGACTTGGATAAGGAGAACGTCAATCTCGCAAATTAGAAGATATAAAGCTGTGAAAATATTGATTTTTCAACAACCAACAAGTACATAAAGTTTCTTTTCATAAAGGAGTTCGCAGGCAAGATAGTTTTCTTAATCAAATAGGAAAACTAGACAAACTAGAAAGCTGAAGCAAAGAAGAAAGTATAATGACGTGAATGTGGTTTCAAATCTGGAATGAAATAGGAAGCATGATCAAATAAGGAAATCAAGTTAAAGTCAAGAAAGAAAAGCGAAGACAAGTTCGAGTTGAACTAGGAATTCCACACAAAAGAGAAGTCCTACATGAAGTAGGATTTTTAGTTGAAATAGGTTTTGGATTCAAGTCCAAATCTATAAATAGGACGATAGTTTCGCTTGAGAAAAATTGCGCACTTACATAGAGAAAAGATCAAAACACAGGTTTGAAGAGTTTTGAGAGTTACTTGGGAATGTTGCCAATTTGTGAGGAAAACGTTGTAACATTGTAATTAAGAGTTTTGATTACAATCGAGTGTGTGTGTATGATTCGTCTAACAAGTTTGAGAAACTTGACGGACGGTAGGAGATATAAAACCGGAGGTTTTTATGTCTTTGGATAGCTATAAATTAGAATTTATAGTTTTTTAGCTAGGAATTAGAGTTTATAATTCCTCTAGGAATTAAAGTTTATAATTCCTTAGGTTACATAGCTCTGTAATTTTTTGTTGAGACTTAAAGTTTAATAAAGTGGAGTTAAATCATACAGAGGTATAAGTCATGGTTTTTACGCTTAAGAGTTAGAATTTTTCGCGATAAAATATTGTGTTATTATTTTATTTGCTTCACAAAATATAGTTGTTGTAATCTGCAAGTAAATTATTTTATTGTGTTGTTCGAATTGATTATCGTTAAGTTTCAAACAAACAGAAACACATTGTCTATACGTGTTCCTCTGAAGAATTCAGGAGGGTAGAATTCCAACAATTGGTATCAGAGCATGTTATCTTTAAAGTGTCTAACAACTCAAGATAAGATCATTATGAATTCTGCACCTCCTCTTGGGCATGGTCAAGGACAACACATCAACAGACCACCATTATTTAATGGAGAATACTACTCTTCGTGGAAGACAAGGATAGAAGACTTCATTCAAGATGAAGATTACAAAATATGGGTTAGAATTACTAATGGACCATTAATCCCTACTAATACTGATAGTAAAGGGAAAAAGGTACCTAAACCTACAGAAAATTACGGAGAAGCTGACTACAAGATGCTAGGGAAGAATGCAAAAGCTAAGTGCATTCTCGTATGTGGACTAATACCTGATGAGTTTAACCACATCTCTAGTTGTACCTCTGCAAAACAAATATGGGACACTTTAAAAAATGCTCACGAAGGTACAACTCAAGTTCGTAAATTTAGAATTTCCAGACTTTGTTCTGAATATGAAGCCTTCAAGATGAAAAGAATCACTTCAAGATATGATCACCAGATTTACCACTGTTGTAGACGAGTTAACATCCTTGGGCAAAGTATACACCAATGAGGAAAACGTATACAAAGTACTAAGGAATCTTCCTAGATCATGGGAAATAAAAGTCACTGCAATCAGATAAGCCAAGGATCTAACCAATATGAGTTTGAATGAATGTAGTAGGAAATCTCAAAACTTATGAGATGAATGTTGACAAAAGAGGTGAAGGAAACAAAGAGAAAAATCTTGGATTTAAAGCAACTGAAAGTGATAAATCAGATATAAATGATGATGATTTGACACTGATAAGAAGAAACTTCAAGAAATTTTTCAAAAGAGGATTGAATTCTGCAAAAAAAAAAAACACCACCTAAGAAAGAAAAAATTGCTGAGAAACCACAAGACAGAGGTTGTTTCAAATGTGGTCAAACTGATTATCAGATTAAGGACTGTCCTATGTGGGAAGTAGAATGGAAAAAGGGAAGAGCCGAAAAAGAGAAGAAAGAATTTCTCAACAAAAAGAAAAACAAAAAAAAGAACAAGCAATGTATGCAGCTTGGGGAATAGGTTCGGACATGTATGACGAAGATGATGAGGACCTCGCTTTGATAGCCATAGAAGAATCGAAAACTGAACCTGAATCAAACTTTGAAGGAATAGACGTAAATCTTTTTTCTTTAAAAGATAAACTAGTAAATTTCTCTAAGAAAAAAGTTATCCTTCTTGTTACTCACTTCCATAGATACAATTCAAGAACTAGTTAAAACCAAAAATCAATTGCTTGCTTGTTTTCAGTTAATTAATAAGCTTCTCAATTTTAAATAAATAAAATAACTGACTTAATTATAAAATTACTAATTCAAAAACGTAAGATGTTATATAACTAAACTAATTAGTAAAATATTTAAATAAAATTAAATCTTTTTAGACGAATTTCGAATAATCTAAAATACACTAATTATGTACATAGTTGCGTAAATCATATATATTATCCAAAAGTTGTGAATAAGGGATAAGATCGAATCTATATATATATATGTATATATATAAATCTGAATCTAAACAATCCTATGTGACACCTCTCTATGACCAGCATTTTCATTTTCTTTTATCTCCATTATTTTAAAGTTTTTAATTTATTTTCTATTTTTTATTTATATTTAAAAAAACTGAAAACATTTAAATGAATTTATCAATTAATCATGTTCTTTAAAAACATCCCTCACATTAATATATATTTAAGTAAGTAGAACATGAAAAGATCAAAAACTTTTCATTTTTCATAACTGTTTATTTTATTTAGACTATAAAATAAAAAATTTGAGTATTTCTGACAAACAATAATGAACTCTTTTGCTCTTTTCTTCATTTCTTCTTTTCTTATGATAATAAAGAAGAATAGACGGATATCACAAACAACAATGAACTCTTCCTCTTTTCTTTGACAAAAGAGAAGAAAAAAAAGTATATCATGATGATTTCGAAGATATTGGTAGGAGAAATATTGTATTGGCAGAAAAAAATTGATTTGATATATTAAATTTCTAGGCTTCCGAATTTCTTCAACAAAAGAGAAAAGAAGAAGTATATCATGATCCATTCAAAGATATTGATGAGAGAAATGTTATATTGAGAAAAAAAATTGATTGAAAGAATGATTTCTTCATTTCTTCTTTTCTTGCGATAATAAAGAAGAATATATGGGTATCACAAACAACAATGAACTCCTCTATTCTTTGACAAAAGAGAAGAAAAAAAGTATATCATGATGGTTCCGAAGATATTGATAGGAGAAATATTGTATTGACGAAAAAAATTGATTTGATATATCAAATTTTTAGGCTTTCAAATTTCTTCAACAAAAGAGAAAAGAAGAAGCAATCATAATCCTTTCAAAGATATTGATATGAGAAATGTTATATCGTGAGAAAAAAATTGATTGGAAGAATAATTAGTGTAGCATTAGGTAAAATAATTATTTGGAGAAAAGATGATGATATTTGAATCATTTCATCATCAATTATATTAATTTCTTCTCATAATATCATAACTAATAATATTATTTACTATATTATTTCCTTAAATAACTTTTTAAATTATTTATTTATTTTTAAAAATAAGTTATATATATTTAATAATAATAGCTAAAATAAAAATGCAACGTTACCCTTATGAATCTAGCATTGATACCTATTATTTTTTATCAATTATTTTAACATTTATCATATATTTTTATTAAAATAACTATTCAAAGATGAAGGTACTTTTGCAAAAAAAAAAAGGTATGCCTCACTATTTTTTTTTTTAACTTTAAAAGACTATAAATTTTTATTAAAAAAATGACCATATTTAAGTACTATCATATGCTGTTAGTTTCTTTTACTTAACTTCTTTAATCTCTTCATTAATATTATTTATATTCCCATAAATCACGTTTTTTCCTTTTTATTTATTTTCTGTCAATTATTTATTCCAAGAAGTAAGTTATTATTCTAACTTAACAAGAATAGCAAAGCAAAATTTACATAATTATTTATTTATATCAATTATTTTGAAATTTATAAATATATATATATATATATATATATATATATATATATATGTATGTATGTATGTATATATACATATATATACATATATATATGTATATATATATGTATATATATATGTATATATACACATACATACATACACACACACACATATATATATACATATATATATGTGTATATATATACATATATATATATATATATATGTATATATATATATGTTGGAGCCACAACATAATGATATCACAAGTGATGGTGATCTTGCACCTGCTAGAAGGACTGCCAGATCTTCTAAGCCTCCTCTTTGGCATAAGGATTACTTAGTTTCAACTAAGTCCAATATGACTTGTTTATATCTTATTGCTAATAATTTGTCCTATGAACTCTTGACACCATCTTATCATGGCTATATCAAGGGATTCTCAGTTATAGAGGAACCCACCAGCTTCAAGAAAGCTTCCAAACATCAACAATGGGTGGATGCAATGCAGTCTGCAATAGCTGTTTTAGAGCAAAACAATACCTGGGAAATAGTGGATTTGCCATCTTGTAAACATCCTAGTGGTTCAAAATGGGTTTATAAAGTTAAACTTAAGGTCAATGGTGAGGTGGAAAGGTACAAGGCTAGGTTGGTTGCCAAAGGCTATAATCAACAAGAAGGATTGGACTATCATGAAACTTTTTCCCCAGTAGCTAAGATGGTCATTGTGAGAACTGTGATTAGTGTTGCAGCATTTCATGGTTGGCATCTTTTTAAAATGGATGTCCATAATGCTTTTCTTCAGGGTGATCTCACTGAAGAAGTGTACATGGACTTGCCTCAGGGATTTCAGAGGCAGGGGGAGAACAAAGTCTGTAAATTGTTGAAGTCTTTATATGGCTTGAAGCAAGCTTCTAGGCAATGGAACCTTAAGCTAACTGAGGCTCTAGTTATTGCTGGTTATTCTCAAAGTTCTTATGATCATTCTCTTTTCACAAAGAGAGTTGGAAGTGATATTGCAGCAGTGTTGATCTATGTGAATGATCTCCTTATAACTGGAAATAACAGTGTTTTGATTCAGGATCTAAAGGCTACATTACATAGTAACTTCAAAATGAAAGATCTTGATAATCTAAAGTATTTTCTTGGTATTGAAGTACTAAGATCAAAAAATGGTATTGTTCTCAGTCAAAGAAAGTATGCACTGGAGTTGATTTCAGACTATGGTGTTGGAGGTTCAAAACCAGCAAGCACACCTCTAGAGTCAGGTGTCAAATTAACTACTGTTGAATATGATGAAGCCATTGCAAAGACAGATGATCCTTTATATTCAAATGTTACTGCATATCAGAGATTAATTTGTAGGTTGTTATACTTGACAACTACTAGGCCAGATATATGTTTTGCAGTACAAGTTTTATCACAGTTCATGCAAAAACCTAAGGTGTCTCACTGGGAAGCTGCATTCAGATTGGTTAGATACATTAAAGGATGTCCAGGACAAGGAATACTACTAAGCAGTGAAGATAGCAATGAAATGGAGGCATTCTGTGACTCAGACTGGGAATCATGCCCAAACACAAGAAGGTCAGTAACAGGGTATGTAATCAAGCTAGGGAATTCACTCATTTCTTGGAAATCCAAGAAGCAACATACAGTCAGCAGAAGTTCAGCAGAAGCTGAGTATATGAGCATGGCAGCTGCGTTATCAGAAATATCATGGCTACTTGGATTACTAAAAGAACTTAATGTGAATGTGATAGTTCCTGTCAAATTGCATTGTGATAGTAAGTTGCAATTCAAATTGGAGCTAATCCTATTTTTCATGAAAGGACCAAACACATTGAGATTGATTGTCATTTTGTGAGGGAAAAAATCAAAAGTGAAATGATACAAACAGAATATATCAACTCAAAGGAACAGTTAGCAGATCTTCTAATCAAAGGACTGAGAATTACTCAACATCTTGGACTGTTAGACAAGCTTGGAATCTTCAATGTCTATAAAGATTCCAGCTTGAGGGGGAGTATTGGAATTACATAATCCAATAAGTAGTTAAGTTTGTTAGTATTAGTTAGTTAGGAGTCATGAAAGTAGTTAGGCTACTTGTAGTTATTTATAACTAACTACAGCTCCTAAAGTGTGAATAAATAGCATAACATGATTCCTATAAATAGGAATAAAAATTGTATTCAACATATATGAATAATATACTCTCTGTTTCTTCTTCTTCTTCTTCTAGATATTTTCATCTGTCAATTCCTTAGAATTGCAGAGATCTGCAACAATGGAGTTTTAACTCCATGATCATATAAAATCTATTAATTGTTGTTACTTACATAGTTGAAGTTTGATCCATCTAAACCATCCTCATAGCCATTCTTTCTTGTACTATTAACTTCAGTCTCGACCATGTAAGCTCCACTTCTTGTATTTGTACTCACTTTTCTTTTAGATTTGAAATCAGAAGGATACCCAATCAGCTTGTAACATTGATCCTTATTATGACCTTTGTATCTGCAGAACTCACACACAACAAAAACGTTACATTTTCAATCCTTGAATTACACTTGTTCTTGAATATATCACCATAGGATCTACACCAGAATCAGTCACAGAACTTAACCCTACCCTTGACCTGCTAGAAGTCACCTTCTGACACTCATCATTCACCACCATTGTATATGCTTGATTCACTGTAGGAACATGACTCATCAACAAAATCTCACTTCTTGCCTTTTCAAACAATTCATTCAATCCCATCAAGAATTTATACAATTTATGTCGCTTCAAATAATCAAAAAATCCTCTTGCCTTTTCACAGTCACATCCAGGAGGAGGCACTAAAGCTTCAAATTCATCCCACAAGGTTTTAAGCTTAGTAAAAATATACTGATACAGACTCCGTACCCTGTTGCAATGTCGCAATTTTTTATGCAAGCTAAAGGTTCTTGACTCATCTAACTGATCAAACCTTTATTTGAGATCATTTAATACCCCTTGAGCTAATGAAGCAAAAGATATTCCTCCTAACAGACTTTTGACATCGAGTTTAGGAGCCATGAGAAAACAATAGAATTCACCCTCTCCCACTGGCTTCCTAGTTCTGCACTTGCATCCTCCTTTGTACAAGATCCATCTATCAATCCAATCTTGTTCCTTCCAAGTAGAGCCAACTTAATCGACCTACTCCACAAAGCATAATTTTCAATTCCAACCAGTTGAAACGAGATCAAACTTAACCCACTGATATCAGTAGGACTCAAGAACATTGGATGACTATAATCGACCCCTTGACTCATAGACAAAACTGGAACAGAGCTGGGATTTTCGACAGCACTACTGGCTTCAGTGGTTTGTTCAGATCATGTTAGCATTTTTTCTTCTTATTCTTTAAACTTAATTGAGGAAAAATAAATGAACAAGAACAACTTCTAATGCAGGCTTTCAAAAACAATACGCAGCTGAACAAGAAGACTTCAGATTCCTCACAAGCTCTGATACCATGAAGTGACTAACAATTGAACAATATGAAAGTAGAATTGTAGAAGAAGGTGAAGATTGTTTTAATTCTTGAAGTGTATCATATAATGAATAAGCCTATATGTGTGTGTGTGTGTATATATATATATATATATATATAGACACACACAAACACTAACTTTAGGAAAGTAACTACCTAACCTTTAACTTCAACAATACTAACTAAAATTAGAAAAAAATTCTTATTTGATTAATTAAGTCTTTCTTTGATATTTTTGTACGTCTTGATAACTTTATCTATTTTTTATACTTTGTTACCAACTAAGAAATACAATAAAATACAAATATTATGTCGGGGCTTATAAAAGTGAAAAAATCACGACACACACTTTTGTAGAATTTTCCCAAAATATACAAAATAATGGGCCTCTATTGAATTCTGATTAGAACAATTGCAAGCTAGGAACTAGCTCTAGTTCTCAAAGCAATAAACTTCATAGGTTATTTCTTCTCTTTTCAAGTTAAGTATTACTTAAAAATAAGTTTTTATTTTTGTTTATTCTTAAATACTTTCTCCGTCCACTTTTAACTGACATGTTTTTTCTTTTTTATAGTTAAATAATAAAAAGTTTGACTAATATTTTACAAGTATTTTTTTTTCATATTTATGTAAAAAATTACAATTTATAATACTTTCCATATAGTTTTTAATATCAAAACTTGTTATTTAAAATACTGAATTAATGTTATATAATTTAATTTTAACAATTACTTAACTAGGCTTTCGTAAAACACAACATAACAATTAAAAGTGGATATAAAAAGTAACTGTGTTTCTTGGAAAGTTGGAAATAGTACAACTCGATATATAAATATTGTTGTAGTGTGCATGCTAGCTAGCAACAAATCATAGGTGCTACATCTTACAGTCTACAATAGTAGTAATATAACAAAAATAAAAATGAAATAAAAATTATTTATGCGTAAGGAAAAATGTTCAACTTATCATCAAACGCTAAATTCTGGATCCGCCTTCAGTAATATTGTTAGTAGAAGCAGTGCCTATAGGGTGATTGATTCCCAGAGTGTTCTTAACAGCTTCAGCAGTGTTTTGAGCCATGTTTGCAGCTCCATGAGCCACATTAGATGCACCTTGTGTTGCACCTTGTGCTACTCCTTGAGCCATGTTAGCAGCTCCATGAGCCACATTAGCTACACCTTGTGCTGCTCCATGAGCCACATTAACTGCACCATGTGCTGCTCCTTGAGCCATATTTGCAGCTACATGAGCCACATTAGCTGCACCTTGTGTTGCTCCTTGAGCCATGTTCTTCACTTGTGTCCCGGTCTTTGATCAAACATATTTAATTAAGGAAATTTTATATAAATCTCATCAATTTCATAGTGTTAAGAGCCAATTACATTTTATTCCTACTATTTTTCAAATTAGAAAAATCCCTTAAATTTGGTGGAATTCCAATACAACTCCAAAATGTCCTGATACATCGCATCCCAATTTCGGATACATCCCTTAGCGTCTGGATACATTGTGGCTCGATTTCGAATGCATCACGTAAAGTCTTGATACTTCGTTTAAAGTGATGTATCCAAAAATAGGAGAACATAGATATTTTTATAATTTTTTTCAAATGATACGAAATTATCGAAAATATAATAAAAATAAATTGTATATTAAGTAATTTTTTATTTAATTAATTATTAATATTAACGAAATATTATACTCATATGAGGGTCTTTAAATGGACAGTTCAAATTGCATTTGATGGCTTAAAGATGGTTGAATCAATACATGGGTTCAGTGCGCGTTGAAAAGTAAATTAGGTTGAATTGAATTTGGTCATAAATAATCCAACCCTCCTAACACTTAATGAATTTAACTTTATTGTTTATTTTCTTCTATATTTTATTTAATAACCAAATAAAATTAAATAAAAAAATATTCTCCTATTTTTATTTAAATATTTTGATACAATTTCTCATGAGTCAGTTTATACAACATATTTAACACAAATCAATCAACTTTTGAATTAGGAAAATTTTGAACTAATTAAAATAGACAAAATTAATAAATAGATAAATCATTAACATCAAATTAAATAAAGTAATACTGTCAATGGCTCATTTTTCCACCCATAGACTAACATATGGTATAATTATGTTAATACCTCTTGAATCAAATTGGTTGCTTGGCCTTGGTCTGTCGATTCATCCCTTCTTATCTGCAATTGATGGGAAAAAAATGACTTCACTATATAGAACTGTGTCATCTAACATTATTTTGCAAGAATTTAATTAAATGTATCTAATTATAGTAATAAATTATAATGTCACTTGAGCAAATTCGAGAAAGAAAAAATGATCTTCTATAATCAGTTACAATTTAATGAATTTTGAAATATCTCCTATGACCTATTCATCAATTTCTTATGTTATATTCTCATATCTCATGTAAAAGTAAATGTAGTGAGACATGAAATCGATCGCTTCACTAAAGGTTAAGTATGCATAATAATATATAAATCGAGTATATATACCTGAGCTTGTCCAGGAACTTTACCACTGCTATAAAAGTCTTTGCTAGCCATGTTAATTAATTTTGTGATTTATGTTTGTGTGATGAAGTTAAGGTAGTAATTGATGAAATGATTTGATATGTGGGAAAATATATATAGGTGATTTATGTGCTCAAAAGGTGAGCTTAATGGATACATTTTCTAACTTATGGAGGACAAAATTCAACAACTTGATTGGTACTACCATGAACTATGGTTTGGATTGGTTAACAACATATCAAAAGGAATTCTTGATCCGTTTTCTTGGGATAAGTTGAGAAATAGAAAAGAAATTACTAAACAAATATTTTTTTGTAAAATGTTTTCCTAAAAGACAATTTTTTTTAATCTTCAAGTGTTTGATAAGTAATTAACAAAAAAAATTAAAAGTATTTTATATATAATTTAGGAAAATGTTATATAAGTAGGGTGGATGGTAGGATTGGGGGGGGGGGGGATATGTAGGTGGGATGAAACTGGGGTGTGTTAAAACTTGAAAGATGGAGAGCAAAATTAATGTGAATTGTTTGAGACGATTAACGTGAAATATCTATTGTATAGCTCCAACGACGACAATTATTATACCTCAATAACGAGTAATTTCTTTAGATAGTCACTCATGTTTGAGAAATTACCTAATAATATCACTTATGTTTGTTTTAGGACTAAAATATCACTTAACTTTACTTACTTTCCTAAAAATATACTTGACAAACAAAAAAAAACGTATTTCTTTCCTAATTGAATGTCATGTCACATTCTTTTAAAGGGAAATTACATGACAAACTATGTTAAGTAATTAATTAATAAGGGGATAATAACCAATTACCCCTCTAGCCTATACCCAAAATCCCTACGACACACCTTATCTTTGATGAGGTCCTACTACCCCCTCCAACTTTTTTTTAAGTAATATATTACCCCTTGCGTGCGTACGTGACAAAAATAATCTGCAAGGTCGATTTGTTTGTTGAACACGCGCCGGGATCCACTTTTTCAGTTTTCGATAAAGTGACTTTAATGAAATATACTCCTCCTCTCTCACGTCCCACCCCACTTCCTATGCCCCATAATTAATAAATCTATATGAATAAAGATAATGAGTTTTGTTTCAAATTGTTAATATTGATCTTTTATTATTTTATCAGTTGGTTTAATATAATTATCAAGTTCAGAATTAATAAACATAAAATAAGAATTAATAATCGACATAAAAAGATGTAAAAAATATATTTTACTTTACCTTTTCAAATCAAGGAGCTTGAATGATAATGGATGGAGCTTCTTCAAAAATGAAGAACCATAAACATGGGATTATTTTTTGAAAAGAGGAAGAAGATGCTTTGAGAGAAACAATAAAATTTATTTTTGATTTTTTTTTCAAATTGCTTTGACACGTGGCTCATTTTTATTGGCCATTGTTAGCCAAAAGCTGCACTCACTCTGCACTCACACGCCCTAGATGGGTGAAATCACGATTTTTGTCACGTAGGCACGCAAGGGGTAATATATTACTTAAAAAAAAAGTTGGAGGGGGTAATAGGACCTCATCAAAGATAAGGTGTGTCGTAGGGATTTTGGGTATAGGCTAGGGATGTAATTGAGTATTATCCCATTAATAAGAGTATAGTTTAATTTATTTACTCTCAATAATAATAGTTTCATTTTTTTTGTCATAATTAATGAGACCCACCACCTATTTGTATACCAATAGTAAAAGACTTATTTATGATTTTATATATAATTTTATATAAAATCATTTTATCTCTTCTATCTCCATTACATCTTTTTGTCCTAAAATCACTCCTCCACACTATTTTAAATTTCAAATTTCATAAGATTTCACGTACTTCCTTCCGTCTTGCTCTCATTTTTCGCAGGTAACCCATGAATCTATTTTTTTTCCTTCATCAACAATTGTATATGTATTATGTTTCTTAGTTTTCATATTATTTTTTTAAAAAATCTTTCTTTCTCATCATATTACAAGTTGTTTAAAATCTGAATGAAAGATTCATCTCAATCTGTAAGAATTGCCTGTTTGAATGTTATGTATATAGTTGTTTGTACAATGAATTATTATATACAAAACTGATCAAGTTATTTTGTATTGTTATATTCATATTTTAAGTTTTTTGTATATTCAATTAGTTATATATGTATATAAGTATGACTTTTAAAAAATAATACAATTATTTGTGTAATAATTTGTTTTAAATCACAATTTTTTTTGTATTTTACGTTATTATGTACAAAACTGCTTAAAGGATTTGTGTATTTACAAGTACTATATTCATATTTTTAATTATACATATACAATAACTTATATATGTATATAATAATTAATTTAATACAAATCAAACAATTTATATTCATTTTATTCACATTCGTATATAAATTTGTTTATAAATATACAGTTTTTTTGTATTTTTGTATATTCATTTTATTTACATTCGTATATAAACTTTGTTTATACATATACAATTTTTTTTATATTCAACTAGTTATGTATGTATATAAGTAATTACTTTAAAATTTTTGGTACAATTATTTGTATAATAATTTATTTTAAATCACATTTTTTTTGTATTTTACATTATTATATACAAAACTGCTTGAGGGATTTGTGTGTATATGTACATAATAATTACTTTACAATTTGGTGCAAATTAAACAATTTATAATCAATTTACTTGCATTCGTATATAAACTCTATATACATAAAAAATTTTAGTTTTCCATAAACAAGTTTGTATGGTTTTTAGTCGTAGTAGAATTCTTTTTTGAGAAAATATTTGATTTTGAATGTTTAGCATAAATTATGGGATCATGTTAATGGTTTTTTTTTACCATATTTAGGGCTATTGTTACTATCTAATGGAAAAGTAAAATATAGTACAATTTTTTTTTAAAAATATTTTATACAAAATAAAAAGCTAAATAACAAACTAAACTATACCCATAAAATATAATTATGTAAACTATACTCATATAATGTTATTTCATAAATTTAGTTTGTCATATAAGAAATTTTCCCTTTTTAAAATTTATTAATGATATTTTTTTTAATTCTTTAAATGTATGTAGGCTCCTAATACTAATTTATTTCAAATATTTAATCGCCATTATAAATCAAGGTTTATTTTAATACAAAGAAAAAAATAATTTAGATAGATAAAGGAAATAATAGATAATGAAATACGAAATTCGTGGATAGTAATATTTAATTAAGTGTTTTTTATTATTAACTTGAAAAATAATAAGTTATAAAAGTAATTAATTAGTACACATGTGATATTTATTATGTGCGTGATTTTCTTCGCACAAAAAATCTACTTGTTAATTGTAAAGATAAAATAATGTCAGTTCTGACAAGAAATTGAAAGCTGAGCTAACCTTCGGTTAAACAGAATTTAGTTATATGTATAACTAGACTTTCTTAGGTTATATTTATTGACTTTTGGTAATTATAAAAGAAATTATTATAAGGCTAAGAAAATATCATTTGACCTTATTTACACACATTATTAGAAAGCATCAAATAATTATTTTGGTAATCTCTAGCTAATGTGTAGCTAAATAGCTTGGTGGACAAGTGCGAGTCGAAGAATAGGATTAACAGATTTTTAGGTTGATGTTTGTTTTTGAAATGAGATTCATGTTATACCTTTGGAGAAACTCAAAACAAAAATTCACACGTTTTTAGGTTCAATGACGATGTAGACGAGGGAACAACAAAAGAAGATGCATGATATTGGTTTGGGTTATGACATATATGATATTAGAGTCAGATATTTTCTGGTATAGTATATGTGCCCATAACTAAGGACGAATAGACGTGGATAGAACATACAGAATGATCGACAGAGTTCTACTGACAAGCTTTTAAAGAATAGTGTGTATATAAAATTTTAAGCAAAGTTAACATCATCATCAGAATGAAAAAGAAAAATAAAAATTTATAATACAAGTTTATATAGTATATGATATGTAGGTACATGCATTTTTTAACTCAATGATGACGTAGTCCAAAAACAAATTTATGGTCAATGAGATTGTAATTGTGACGTTTATTACTTGATTATAACTTCATTTTTTTTGACTTATTTAACATTACTAGTGAAACTATTCGCGTTTCGCGCAATTATATGAAATATTTATAAGATAATAATATGAAATATATAATATTTACGTTAGTATCGAATATATAGATAATATTTATATTTCTTCTCGTCTGTGATATCATAAACTTTTATAAAACATATAATATATATTTGTTTGTTTTGTATATGTATATATTAGAACAAAATATACCGTGATGAAGTAAATGAAATAAGGGATAATATGTTGAAATAACAATATATTGTATTAGATTGAAAATATTTTAGATGTTTTAATTTTCTCTATCTTTTCTAGGAGTAGTGATGTTCTATCCAAACTCTGATTTCGTCAAAACAATATTGTTTTCTTTTATTTTATTATTACACTAGTAAACTTAGCCGCGCTATGCGCGGTGTCTAAAAGTTTTCATTTTTATTTAATTTTTAAATTCAAATAGATTAGTTAATAAATTTTATCATTTAACTTTGTAATTTCAACTCAATACATGAATTAATTTTATCAAAAAATATATACATGAACGGTCAAATATCTATACTTTTTTTTGGTTGAATAGTACCTATTATTTTATGTTAATTATAATATATAATTAAGAATTTATGACTTCATTATCCATTTGAATGAGTTCTCAAAATTAAATATGGTTAACTTTGATGTTTTGTTAAGAATTTAAAGTGAGATTTTTAGTATTTTAAACTTTTTAAAAAATATCAAAAGAATTAAAATAGTAATAAATTCAAAAACAGACTTAGAAATATGAAAAATTATTCGTAATAGATAAGCTACCTATAATTTGAAGACTTGAAAAAAGTAATTCAATATTTATATATTAAGATATAAAGTTCTCTGTATATTGATTCTTTGAAAAAAAAATGGGTGATACATGATTTTAGTTTGGTAAAATAATTTTTAGTGATATAGAATTAACAT